TGATACTTTTCTTTGGGCGAAATACGTTTGCAGACAACCTCTGGCATGTATCATCATCTACGATACGTGGTACCCGGGTAACAATATTATGCTAGTAGTATTGCGTTTGACAACGTTTAGCCGTATCTAGCCCACACTGCGCCCAGCCCATCCTCCTACACAGTCCACCCTTCCTCCTACACAGTCCAACCTCCTCATAACACGAGCCAACCCTCCTCCTACACCAGTCCAACCTCTCTACACAGTTCCGACCCTCCTCCGTACACAGTCCAACCCTCCTCCTACACAGTTCCAACCTCTTCCAACAGTCCAACCCTCCTCCCTACACAGTCCAACCCTCCTTCTACACGGGTCCGAAACCTCCTCTCTACACAGTCCACGCCTCCTCCCACACAGTCCAACCCTCACCTCCTACACAGCTCCAACCCTCCTTCCTACACAGTCCAAGCCCTCCTCCTTACACCGGTCCAACCCTCCTCCTAACACAGTCCAACCCTCCTGACACAGTTCCAACCTCCTCCTACACAGTCCAACCTGCCTCCTACACAGGTCAACGCCTCCTCCTATACAGTCCGAACCTCTCCTAGCACAGTCAACCCTCCTCCTACACAGTCCAACCATCCTCCTCCGTACAACGAGTCCAACGCACTGACGAGGATGCAACTTAGATGAAATATCCGTCGTCAATTCCCGCTAGGCGTTCATAATGCGTTTCATCGTGTTCATCATAAAATGGTTCATTTTTACGCGCACACAACTACATGAATTTCTTTCACGAAAAAACCGGCGCGGACGTCATTATGCTGACGGCACGGCGCGGAGGAAACGTCTCATAAGGCCGCCTAGCTATATTCATTGTTACGTTACTCGCTGCGCAGCGGCGGTTAGCGTAGGTTTGACGCGTGATTCGAGTAGATTTCTAATTCGAAACGAGAATGCGCGTCAGCCCATAAAGGATATAGAAGGGGCTGCATATGTGTCTCCCGGCCCCTCCCCCGTCACGGATTCAGCGCGCACGTTCTATTTTTCATGGGCCTCCGCCATTCAGTACAAGCGGGATAAAAGACAAGGCGGACCTCTGGTATGGCGGAGAGAGCGAAAGATAAGCGAGAGAGAGGCGAGAGAGAAAGAAACGAGAGAAAGGAGAGGAGAGAACCGAAAGAGATTAGAGAGGGAGCATAGAGAAAAAAGGGGAAGCGAAGAGAAGAGCCAGAGGAGAGAGAGGATAGAGAGGAAGAGAAGAGAGAGAGAGAGAGAGCGAGAGAGAGAGAGAGAGAGAGAGAGAGAGAGAGAGAGAGAGAGAGAGAGAGAGAGAGAGAGAGAGCGAGAGAGAGCGAGAGAACGAGAGAGAGAGAGAAAGAGACTAGTTCTGCTTTAGCAAGTCGCATGTCGTAGCCACGAATAATACCAGTAGACGCAGCGCTGCAAATAGCCCGGCGAGAGAGAAACGCACACCGTGCCGGCGACGCACGTTATATTATCGTATGCAAATCTGAGTAGCTTGCGGCATTACGCTTTCAGATGCAATAATAATACGTCGGCTGAGTGAGTTACCGCAACCGTGGTTTGCCTGCTCGCTAGACAGTTCTGCCTCCGAGCTCTACGCGTATATATCAAGAGCACATAATAGAGATATTGGTATATTGGTATATATACATAGTACGCGCGGGAGCGAGTGGCGTAGATACTGAAAGGTGAACAATCATCTCTGCATGGGTAATACGCTACGATGGTTTTATGCGAACGTATTGTAACGATGCACAGTATCAATACGTATACGCTGTGTGATTCAGTAACGGTAGCGCCGAAGGCAGGTTAGACGAGCGAACGCGGAATAACGGAGAAAAGAAAGCGGTTCAGAGATATCCGGTATCCTGTCGTATATCTAGATTGCCATCGTACCATCGCGATTGCGAATCTAGCAGTCGGCTCGCACATACGGGTATCTTACGTCGAATCGACGCGCTCGCTGCGGTGGCAATGCGAACTATCTATCGCCGAGATGTCGGCAAGCGGCCGCGGAGAAATCACCTCACGAACGATGGATGGATATAATCAAACGCACGGCTCTGCGAGCGTCAAACTCCGACGATTAAATTTGTCGTCGACGGCACCATGTATCATAATTAGGCGGGTATCAGCCACCTCTCTCACTCGCCATTTATCTCCTTTTCCCCCTCGCTAGAAGGTCCACGCAATTTATTTCCATTTGTGGTGCGAAGCCGTCAGTTCTACCATCAACAAATGGATCGAGAAGCTTTTGAAGTCGGATGTCATGGCACAAATCGGCGCAATCATTATTTGCTTTCGCTACCCGCAGGCTTTCATTACATTGCTCGCGCAGGTTAAAAACCAGCGGACCAATTTAATATTGTTGACGACGTCCAGGTACACATAAATGCACTGCTCAACGACGCAACCTACGCAACTGCATATATATATATATATATATATATATATGTATATATATATGTATATATATATGTATATATATATATATGTATATATGTATATATATATATATATATATATA